GGCCTTACCCGCTCCGGGCCCGCCGCCTCCTGCAGCGCCGCCGGCCCCCAGCGCTCGCCCATGGCCGGCGGGACCGCAGGGCGAGGGGCGGCGGAGGAGGAAGGGGGAACGGCCATGGCCAAGGCCGCTCCTCCCCCGGGGAGGCCTCACTAATTGCATAACAAACACAGAGCTGCGGCGCTTGGAGGCGCTCGCTGAGGGCCCGGCGGGGAATGTACCATTGATACTTGTTTCTCTCCCTTCTTGCAAACAGAGAGAGCTTCAAAAGATTCCGGTGTTGCCTTCCAAAACGGTACCTTTCGGTGCTGCTTTAAGTGTATGCCCTTAAGAATTTTGGGTATTTTCTTTTAAAGGCACCTGGCTGCCACAGTGACTGAGACCTCCCCTGTCTCCATCCCCAAGCATGCGAAGGGGGAGTCAGGGCAGCTGGGCTCCTCTGAACTGCATCTGTTTCCTGCGGCTTTTTTATGCCTTGTGAGAGACGCTCAAGCCTCACCAGGGCAAGGGATAAGAAAAGTTCCGTGGGGAGATCTGTGACTAAGCACAAGAACAGCTCTGGTTTTCTTTCATGGAGTTTTCTGAGGAGCAGAAACACGTACCTGAGCAGTAAGTGACTGAAAAGCACAGCAGGAACACACAAACACTAAATGAGAAAAGGTGGATTCACATCAACAATATCTGCTGTTACCTGAGTACTGTTACTTCTGAGACATCCTTTAAGTTTTATTTCCCAGAGATACCTATACAAGCTGCTTAATCTTTACGTCCAACAACAGCTTCACTCATACCAAGCATACGGACTACCAGGGATTCCAGCTTTTTGTCCAGAGCAATTAGAGGATCGCTGACTGATACAGAGCAAAGCAAATTGACCTATTTACAGACAAATTCTATTGGTGTGTGCAATACAGAGTTTGCTGGTGGTTTAAGGAGGAGATGCATGAGTTTCTGGACCAAAACCAACAAACAGCAGACTATTCGTATTAAATGGCATTGACTTGCCTACCAGTTGTCTTAGCCCCCAAATCTGTTTGTCCTGGCTACTGTTTCAGAATTCCCTAAATGTTCTCGCACCTCCACAAAAATCTACCAACTTGTTAGCTTTGTTTTATAAAAATTAAATTATGTATGCAACACTGAAATACAGCACATACAAATGAAATACAGCATTATGCACAATTTTGCAAGATTTCAGATTACTCTGCTGTACCTACAATATCCTACTTAGAACAAGCTTCCTGACAGGTGAAGCTGTATTCATCCCTCAGTTTCTCACTGCTGTGGCAGCTGTCCTGCCTGGCAAATGTAGTCATCACTGCTTTGACCATAATAACTCTTTCTACCGTCCCTCAAAAGGTATTACTTTTTGGGGGACTACTCAGCTGCCTTTTAAAATGGGTTATAAGTTTAATTTTGTATATGAAAATGACATTTCAGATAAATTGACAAATATTCATTTATAAATTAAAGTTATTAAAGAAATCTGATTTTTAGCTTAGCACTGTTCACTCTCATAAAATCAATTTGTGAATAATTTCAATAGTCTAAAGCTTAAAATTTCCTTAAGTCTCTCTGCAGTCTCCTTTCAGAGAAACCTTACCATAGGTTGTGGCAACAATCTCTTTTCCAGTAGGTTTCCATGACTACAGTATTCAAGCATACTCATTTGGTTAGCTGCCATTGCCACTGGGCAAAGGGATACTGATGTGTTTCACCATTATGGAAAAGCCCTGAAATGCCTGGAACAACCAACTGCCTCTTGTTATACCAAATAGTCTATTACTATAATAGTAGTCTGTGGTGATAACAGACAAAAAAATATGTTTATATTAAGCCATTGACAAAGGGGGAAAATAGTCTCTCACAGGATAGTGTTTCAAGCAAGACATAAAGGTATCCTCTTACACAACTCCACAAAAAATCCATTAAAAATATAAAAAAAATTAAAAGCCTTCCATGCCTCTCAATTCAGCACATCTCAAATAGCTGCAAATGAAAGCCACAAAAGTAATTTCCAACTAGAAAAGGATCCATCAGAGCTCCAGAAGATACCAGAAGTCCTGATGGGCAATGACTGTACTGTGATGGAGGCCACATTTCAGTTGTGAAGCCTGTTCATGCCCTCCCCACAGAGCCCATATGGAAACTTCCAGCACTGTGAGTTCCAGGTAGCCACTGAAGCTTTCACATGACCCATTCACCTACACATTTTAATGTGCAGGCATACATTCTACCTTAGAATAAGCTAATGGTATACATGCTGAAATACAGTTAATCTGGACATGCAGAATTTTCTATTTGATTTTAGCAGACCAGTGAGTAAATAGGCAAACTGAAGGTTCAGAAAAAAGGTCAAATTCTACAAAGCTTGAAAAGAGGAAGGGAATCAGAGCTACTGAGCGAGGTATCCACAGTTTGCCTTACAGAGAGGAAGCCAGAAAAATCCAAAGGTCAGTGAAGCAAAGAGCACGGACACAGAAGCAGCTCAGAATGGCTTTTACAGATGCAAACAGATATATGATCCACAGGCTATGGGATCCTATAGAGGGAGTTAGGGTACAGCAGTAAGTATAAGAAAGGAGGAGGTTGATACAAACTTAGTGAACAATCTTTCACGTGGTATTGTGGGTGACCAGGAGCTGTGCTCAGTTCCAGCTCCTCCTGAGAAGCAACCACACAGGAGGTGGTTGGTGGTGGCTGGGAACTTATCCCACCTGCACACCAACTCCCATGGAGCGGTGCAGCCCTGCTCACAACACACTTCTCTTCAGATGCATGGAAGCAAACTTCGAAAAACAGCAGGTCTGTATGATGTGCACAATTGCATACAAAGATAAACACTGTTTAAGAGTTGAGGAAAATTTCATTTTCTCTGCCTTTCCGAATGCTGCTGTGCAAGGGTATTTGTCAGAAAAGTTTGACAGTTTATACTTTTATCACTGCTTGTTATCCAGTGACCAAATGACTAACTTGCAGGAAAGAAAAATCACTTTCAAACCACACAAGTGGGAAAGACCACTTGGCCATTTTTCATTCCTGGAAAATTATCAAAACCAGAGTGAGTGATTTACCTTGTGTTGGATCAGCTAGCTAAGCAAAAGAAAGCCAAGAATTAGTCACAGAAATTAGCACTAAAGTATCAGTTTTCCCTAGATTCAGATTAGGACCTACTCTAGTAGTTCGTCATAACATTTTATTAGTAGCTACCTTTATCTCCTCTTTCAGCAATGGTGAACAGCTAAGGATTTAGACTATTAAGAAAGTATAAAAATTACAGAATTTAACTAGTTTCTTCTCTACCACATTTTAAGTGAACTAACAGAAGGGCTTAAGTCAAAGGGAGAGGAGGTGTATGATTTTAATAAACATTTTTCTTATTAAAATCTCGATATAGTTTAAATATACCATACAGAGGAAAAAAAGCTATTTATAAAGCTACATACATATTTCAAGTCAATGACGACAGCATATATCATTCTAAATTCCCTCTCTGCTTATCAGAATGCCTTGTGTGTGTATATATGGTGAGCTACTGTGCTATCTGCATAACTTTTGTCTAGCTATACATTACAGGACTTAAAAAATGTTTAAGCTATATACAGAAATATATATACATATAACATATATTTATATGTTATACATACACATACACTTATATACATATACACACAATACATATATATATATACAGTACTTTACATGTATATATGGCCTTTCATCCAAGGGCCTTGGATAATTCTTAGTACATCAAACCTCACAAAGCTTTGTGAGGGAGGGAGCTTTATTGTACAGACTGGAGTTTTGATGCCTATTCTAAACAATTTCTTTTGTTGCTTCCTACTAACTTGACACAGTTGAGGCAGTTTTGGTAGTAGAAATAATCACAGCAGTTTGATAGCCAGGTATAAATTAGATATTGCTTTGTACCTTTGTAAGTTATCCTCCCCTTAGTATAAGAGAACAGCCATACCAGCATGAATTTTCTCTACACTAAAATGCCTCTACCTAGATTTGTGAGGCTGTACTGCTTTTTCTCTTTAAGCATAGTAAAATCTAATACAGTTTTTAACTTAAGATACGCTGGAGGTCACAACAGGAAATCTAGAACAGACTCCAATCCTCATATGTTGAAACTATCCTTTTCTAGGATGATCAACTTAGAGGAAGTATTAGTACCTGCAGAAATAATTCTACATCTATCTGCAGTTTAACTATACAAGCCTGAAACCGTCTGACTTATTTAGAAAACAGGTTTTTCAGCATCAATTTGGCAACTGGTGATCAGAATTTGTGGTATCAACTATACTCCATACCTTTAGCAACTAAATAAATGATGAAAACAGGCTTTTTGGAAAATCAGATGTAGGTAACTTTTGGTCATCCTAAAACTAGCTGGCAGAAAGGAAAACCCAAATGAGCTCTGGCAAAGGTGAGTTCCACTGGGATTTGGATGTAATATCTCTTCACCTCTTCCCAACAAAAGGGAGGGGAAAAAAATCACTAACATGGACTAATAGGCTTGGAGAAGCAAGAAAGAACATCACCACCACAAAAGCTCTTATCCCTCAATTCTTCAGTCTGCTAAGCTTTCATAAATTTGACACAGAAAAAGTAGCTCCTTTCTTCATTAACCAATTTCTAACTCTCAAAAATCTCTCAAGCCTTAGGGAAAAGAAGTCCTGGATTACAGTCAAAGACTGCCCTCCCCAAATGCAACCAACCACTCCAAAAGTGAACATACAGTAGAACTCACTACAATGAAGTTTGAGAATTTTATTCTAACCTAATTGCCTTGAGATTTTTCAGAACACGCCACTTTTCCTTCAAACCAATTCTGTTAAAAGGAGGGGTTGCCTGGCCCATTTCTTTCAGGATTCTCTGCTAACTGTAAAATGTGGGCTAAATGTCTTCTGTGTATCAATTTTTCAGGTACAAAATTCAGATTTTTAATAAACAACTATGTTTAGTGTATGCTGTTAGCTAAAGTATAAATGGCTTAATAAATAAAAACTATTGTTTCTTCAGTATGACTTGGTATTTTGTCTGTAATTTCTTTATTAAAAAACTGTAACAAGATACTTAAAAAAAGGCTAGATACAAAAGAAGTTAAGCAGCTCACGAACATTAAAGTTTTCCAAAAAATGTATCTTCAATAATCATGATCTTATAAACATTTTACAGTTACCAGAAAGTGCCCAGGCTGAGTTTACATAGTTAGATAATGTAGTACAAGTGTTGGGTTAGAACTGGTAGTGGAACAATCTCCTGACTGTCTGTTCACTGTAACAAGGATACAAAAATGTTGATTGTGAACTATGAAATACTGTGCATTGGCCTCATCAAATATGTACAGGGAAAAAAACCCACTAAAGGTACAGATTACATGCAAAATATTAGTGATGGTATCTGATGTGCCAGAGTTCAATGCAATAGAACAAAAATTGCAATGGAAGTGGTTTCATAAGTGAACAATCCCTACTCCGGGATCTGAGCTGTCAGGAACTTTTTACAAGTTCAATATACATGATACACAACTGCAGCCAACCACAAATTAAACACCATTAAAAAAAAAGTTAAAAACACAGAACATACTTAATTTTTTATTTCGAAATTCCCTACTCCCTCTATACAAGAACCTTTGCTGAAACACTTTCCACAAAGGCAGCAGTGAATTTTCAGAACATTTTACATATTTTCCCTCAGCAAAAAGATAAATCACAGTGTAAATTATATTGTTCTGCTGTCATCTTTGGCTGGGGTTAGGCAAAGGAGTCATTGACTAGCAAACTGCTGCAATCACATATTGCTAGTGCTCCTTAGGCCTTTATATTACAAATTTAGTACAGGAATGTTTGCATTTAAATCTTTGAAGTACCACCAGGGGTATGACAGCATTAACTTTCATAAACTTTTATAGACAAATGGAAAAATCTACAAAACTTAGCTAGTAATATTACACAGCAATACACACTTTTTATACTCTACACAAAACCAAAATTCTTGGTCTTAATGGCGAGTAACAATTTTTGTTTCAAAATCTGCTTAGAGGA